AAAGCTTGGTATCCATCGCCTTTGTCACAAACTTCAGCATGATGTTTGATTTGACGGTTCTCTTGTTTGTCTCGAAGTACGCTGATCTTTGCATGTTCTCGACGAGCTTTGCAGAATAGAGAATCTTTTTTTAGGCCATCTCTGTTTCTCTTGCAACAGCTTCAGTTTGAGTTGTAGCGTTCAATCTTGGAGCGATTGTATTGTAGTCGATTGACTTTCCATCTCAAATTGATTTTACCATGTCTTCTGAACATTTCATTCCAGAAGCTTGGATATAATCAATCACTCTTTCTTTGGCATCTTCGTATGTTGATCTTGCTTTTCCATCGTTCTCATCTTTTGTTGAAAATAGATGTTTCACAACTGTTGAACTCAAATTGCAATTGACTTTCTGAGGAGTCACACGTCCTCTTCCACCACTGGATGAAGAACGTCCCATTGTCAACAAATCACTCACTCCTTTGTAGATAAGGCAGTGCTGTTCCTGACGTAAATTTGTTTTGTTGCCTTTTGTGATTGAATGTTGGAATAAAGCAAAATGTGCTCTATTGTGAGTGCCTTTAGCGCTCAGAACAAACGCTCTGCAATCTAAATTTGTAATCCACTGTACAACACTTTCACGACAATAGTTCTCCTGTCTAGGTATACTTTGAGTGTAATTGTTCCTATTTGATTAATATTTGGCTTGAATTGATGATTCAATCACAGAAGTAAGTTCAACAATTTTCCCTTGGAAAATCCCTTGTTCACGGAACTTAATTCGACCTCTACGACAATTCTGTGTTGAATGCAGTACTTTGGGACATCTTGTACTATTCCGTACTGCATTGTACACAACATCGATATCTCACTTGTATAGGGTCATTCCCTTTTTGTGTGGATGTAGATTGTCCGACAGACTTGCGTCAAATCCTTCGCACACTTGAGCACCACTGAAGCCTTGTCGGCTGACTTGCATTCCACTGAACGCAATCTCACCGTTAGCATTCATAGAATAAGGGACAGTAACAGTGCCGCCACCTTGAGTTGGAATCTGCATGAGCGGCATTCCAGAAGGAACTTGCATCATTTGATTACCTGTAGTACCAGCAAGTTGCAAAGGTGTGTTAACACTTCCCGCAACACTTGATGCTCCACTTGTGGATGCGGAAGCTCAAGAAACTATCGCTGGAACAGTAGCTGGGACAGTTGCTCCAATCTGATTAAGATTGAGCTTCTTCCCATAGTTGACATATTGATCCTGATTCTTCCATTCCATCTTTGGTAACAGTCTGTCTGGGCATTTTGGAGACATATGGTCTTTGTTGCCACATACATAGCATGCTGCCTTCTTTCCATCCTTTGGTTTCCCCTTTCCTTTTCCTGTACCTTTACCTTTATTAGGTTGGTCTTTTCCTTGGTAGAGGTTCACTCCCGGATTTTTAATCACTTCCATATGAATTTTCAACATATCTTGTGCTTTGCTGACCGTCTTTGGACAATAATCCACTTCTCTGCAATAGTTTGTCTGAAGATCCAGCATCAGAGGAGCTGTTCTCGTTCGATGGTAGTTGCACAGAAATCCTGTTGCAAGAACGGCTTCAAAGATATCATCCTTGAACTTGTTTTGAGCAGCAGTATTGGTGCTAGCAATAGCAGCATACGCTTTCGTCTTGACTGCAAAATCTCGGAACCAGGCCACGCCATATAGATCTTGCAGGACTTCAGCCTGTCTCAAGAATTGTTCCTTGAAATGCATCAAGTTTTCCGTTGTTCCTTGCTTCATAGCAAAGAACTTTTGATTAGCTTCCCAGAAATCCAAGAAATCGTACTCAGCATCAGCACTCTTCTTCATGAATTGTTCAATATGTTTCAAGAGTTCATTCGGATCTTCAAGAGTAGTCGTGAAATTGGCTTCACCTCAAAGCTTGATACCCATCGCCTTCATCACAAACTTCAGCATGATGTTTGATTTGACGGTTCTCTTGTTTGTCTCGAAGTACGCTGATCTTTGCATGTTCTCGACGAGCTTTGCAGAATAGAGAATCTTGTTTTGGACCATCTCTGTTTCTCTTGCAACAGCTTCAGTTTGAGTTGTAGCGTTCAATCTTGGAGCGATTGTATTGTAGTCGATTGACTTTCCATCTCAAATTGATTTTACCATGTCTTCTGAACATTTCATTCCAGAAGCTTGGATATAATCAATCACTCTTTCTTTGGCATCTTCGTATGTTGATCTTGCTTTTCCATCGTTCTCATCTTTTGTTGAAAATAGATGTTTCACAACTGTTGAACTCAAATTGCAATTGACTTTCTGAGGAGTCACACGTCCTCTTCCACCACTGGATGAAGAACGTCCCATTGTCAACAAATCACTCACTCCTTTGTAGATAAGGCAGTGCTGTTCCTGACGTAAATTTGTTTTGTTGCCTTTTGTGATTGAATGTTGGAATAAAGCAAAATGTGCTCTATTGTGAGTGCCTTTAGCGCTCAGAACAAACGCTCTGCAATCTAAATTTGTAATCCACTGTACAACACTTTCACGACAATAGTTCTCCTGTCTAGGTATACTTTGAGTGTAATTGTTCCTATTTGATTAATATTTGGCTTGAATTGATGATTCAATCACAGAAGTAAGTTCAACAATTTTCCCTTGGAAAATCCCTTGTTCACGGAACTTAATTCGACCTCTACGACAATTCTGTGTTGAATGCAGTACTTTGGGACATCTTGTACTATTCCGTACTGCATTGTACACAACATCGATATCTCACTTGTATAGGGTCATTCCCTTTTTGTGTGGATGTAGATTGTCCGACAGACTTGCGTCAAATCCTTCGCACACTTGAGCACCACTGAAGCCTTGTCGGCTGACTTGCATTCCACTGAACGCAATCTCACCGTTAGCATTCATAGAATAAGGGACAGTAACAGTGCCGCCACCTTGAGTTGGAATCTGCATGAGCGGCATTCCAGAAGGAACTTGCATCATTTGATTACCTGTAGTACCAGCAAGTTGCAAAGGTGTGTTAACACTTCCCGCAACACTTGATGCTCCACTTGTGGATGCGGAAGCTCAAGAAACTATCGCTGGAACAGTAGCTGGGACAGTTGCTCCAATCTGATTAAGATTGAGCTTCTTCCCATAGTTGACATATTGATCCTGATTCTTCCATTCCATCTTTGGTAACAGTCTGTCTGGGCATTTTGGAGACATATGGTCTTTGTTGCCACATACATAGCATGCTGCCTTCTTTCCATCCTTTGGTTTCCCCTTTCCTTTTCCTGTACCTTTACCTTTATTAGGTTGGTCTTTTCCTTGGTAGAGGTTCACTCCCGGATTTTTAATCACTTCCATATGAATTTTCAACATATCTTGTGCTTTGCTGACCGTCTTTGGACAATAATCCACTTCTCTGCAATAGTTTGTCTGAAGATCCAGCATCAGAGGAGCTGTTCTCGTTCGATGGTAGTTGCACAGAAATCCTGTTGCAAGAACGGCTTCAAAGATATCATCCTTGAACTTGTTTTGAGCAGCAGTATTGGTGCTAGCAATAGCAGCATACGCTTTCGTCTTGACTGCAAAATCTCGGAACCAGGCCACGCCATATAGATCTTGCAGGACTTCAGCCTGTCTCAAGAATTGTTCCTTGAAATGCATCAAGTTTTCCGTTGTTCCTTGCTTCATAGCAAAGAACTTTTGATTAGCTTCCCAGAAATCCAAGAAATCGTACTCAGCATCAGCACTCTTCTTCATGAATCGTTCAATATGTTTCAAGAGTTCATTCGGATCTTCAAGAGTAGTCGTGAAATTGGCTTCACCTCAAAGCTTGGTATCCATCGCCTTTGTCACAAACTTCAGCATGATGTTTGATTTGACGGTTCTCTTGTTTGTCTCGAAGTACGCTGATCTTTGCATGTTCTCGACGAGCTTTGCAGAATAGAGAATCTTTTTTTAGGCCATCTCTGTTTCTCTTGCAACAGCTTCAGTTTGAGTTGTAGCGTTCAATCTTGGAGCGATTGTATTGTAGTCGATTGACTTTCCATCTCAAATTGATTTTACCATGTCTTCTGAACATTTCATTCCAGAAGCTTGGATATAATCAATCACTCTTTCTTTGGCATCTTCGTATGTTGATCTTGCTTTTCCATCATTCTCATCTTTTGTTGAAAATAGATGTTTCACAACCGTTGAACTCAAATTGCAATTGACTTTACCCTTGATAAATGGGTTTGTCCCTGACAACTGACGGCATCTGATGAATTTCGCCATTGAAAAGAAGCCAGGAGACTTTTGGCTGACAAAAATCCGTACAATTCAGCTCATGAATTCTGAATCCCAAGCGAACTACAAGAAATTGGGCCGCCTGGCCATGGCCTACGGTAAAGAACATCACCTCTTGGCCAATGGACAGTGCGGGTCTCGAAAGCACCTGTCTAAACGCCTGGTGTGGAACCTGCTGATTCTCCAGCGCCGCTCCGCGGGGTGGATTTCAAATGACGCAAAGTCTTGTTTTGATTGGGTCATCCATTGGGTTGCGGTGATAGCTATGATGCGTCTAGCGATTACTTGGAATGCGTTGCGTATGATGTTTGACACTCTAGCAACGTCCATGAACTTGGTGACTCTGAAGAGAGCTTTCGTCCCCCTTCCACTGTACCATTTCAGGGTTGAGGCCAGGGCAACGGAGCGGGCCCGCCCATTTGGATTTCGGTTAGCTCCGTCATCATCCAGATGATGACCGCAATGGACTTTGGCTTTGAATGCCTCACAGCAAATGATTCTCAACTGATCACCGCTCAGTGCTTTTGCTTTGTCGACGACAAGGATGTGATCAAAGCGGGCAAGTCCGTGGAACAATCTGGCGAGGATATATGCCACTCCGTCCAACAAGCGGCTTCCACGTGGGCTGGAGGCATTAGTGCTACTGGAGGGGCAATTAACCCAGAAAAGTCCTTCTGGTGGTTGATTGACTTTGTGTGGGACTCCAGAGAGGGCAAATGGAGGTTCCGCCGGATGCACCAACTTCTACCGGATCATAACCTACAAATACCGGGTCTGACTGGCACATTGGAAGCCTTACGCCGTCTGGAACCGGATGAGGCAGAGAAAACCTTGGGGGTCATGTTGGCCCCATTGGAAGATCAACAGGCCCACGTCGCCCACCTCAAGAGTATCACTAAAAAGAGGGATGAGCAAGTGCAATCGGGGCATCTACAGAAATGCAATGTCATTCCCCTTATCAAGACAAAAGTGATGAAATCCCTGGAATACCCAATGGTGCTAACTACACTGGACGCTGCAACATGGGTGTCGATTATGAGTCCCGTTCTCCAAGTCTGCTTGCCGAAGGCTGGCATATTTAGGAGCTTCCCTCGTGACATGGTCCTTGCCCCTCTCAAATTCCAGGGTCTGGGCATCCCTTGTCCGTTTGGGACTCAGGTGTCCAAACATATTGAGGTTCTGATCCGCCACCTGTCCAACCGAACAAAAACTGGGGCGTATATGGAGGCTGCGGTCCAAGAACACCAACTTGAGACCGGCACCTCCTTCGGACTCTTCCAGCAGGACTATAGCAACATGGCAATTTTGGCGTCAGATACTTGGCTCAAAAGAGTCTGGAAAGAGTTGGAGGACTTGGATATCTATGTTGCTCTTGACTCTCCTCTCATCCCTCTCCGATGCGAAGGCGACGCCTTGCTCATTGGGGTATTCATGGAGTTGGAAGTGGATCAGGACGCTCTAAAGTGGCTCAACTGGTGTCGTATGTGACGGCCGATGGCCGCCGCATCTGAGAGTCAATGTGGCATGGGGAACGTAACTACGCTCATTGTTCTTCATATCAATGGCCTCACACTGTCCGGCCCCATAGGAACCACTGGAGGGCGTGGCAGGAGCACCTTACCCGAGCACTACTTGTCTTTGACGGACCCCAGCGCCTACTGCGTCATCCTCTGGGCCCATGGTTTGATCCTCTCGACAACTGGAACTGGTTATGAAAGCCTCCTTGCTGAAGCCCTACTCAAAGACCGGCTGTGTGTGATCAGCGACGGTTCTTATAAGCTCGGTCTGGGCATGGCAGCGGTTCAACTGCCTCCACGTAAGGGTGGCAAGGAACATATTATTGTTCAAAGCCAGACTCCGGGTCTACCTGATGACCAGAGTGCATACCGGAGTGAATTGATTGGTCTACTGGCCGGTATCATGGTTGTTGATTGGCTCATGGACCAGTGGGCTCCAACACTTCAATCACCACCCCACGTCAGGATTGCGTGCAATGGATTTTTGGCGTTGCTCAACACCTTTAGTGACAATCAAGTCACAACGCAACAAGCCCAGTTTGACCTTGTCTCCTCTATCCGGGAGACATTGGCTCGCTCCAGGGCCTTGTGGGAACCTAGCCACGTGTACGGTCACCTTGATAAGGCGACATCCTTCTCGTGCCTCTCTTGGTGGTCCAAACGGAACGTGGAAGTGGATGCGTGGGCGGTTGCTTATCGCCACTAGCTCAAAGCTTCACACCAACTGATTGCACCCAACGCTCGTTTCTTTACCGAATTGGCTGCCCTCTACATCGGTAACGTCAAACAGTCGCGATTGAATCCAGAACAGGTCCAGGAACTGGTGGCGCTGCCTGCTCTACGCAAGCGATGGCACGAGCGGCAGACGATTACATCAGAGGCAGAGCTGGGTACCGATTGGACCAGTCTGGCTTGCGCCATGAGCTCCCTTCCGGCAGGTGTCCAATGGTGGACCACAAAGCATGTTGTGGGTATGTGTGGTGTAGGGAAGTTCAAAGTCCGGTGGGGTTCCGCAGACTCAGCTGCGTGCCTGTTCTGTGGCAAGTTCAAGGACCACTTTCATGTTCCTCGATGTATGGTGCCCTTGGCGTGTGCGGAATGGGAGCGCCGGACGGCGATGTTGGACCAATGGTTGGACACTCAAGTCACTGACCCAGCCATCAAACACGCTATACTCCATCTTCTTCAAGGGGTTTGTGATCCGTCCCTCCCTTGCAGTCGGTTGGTCCTGGTTTGTCTTCACCGCGCTTTCCTCTCCCAACAATGCATCGGCTACCAAGGTCTATTGGAAGGCAGGCTGTCTGTTCAGTGGGCGGCCCTGCAGGAACAGTACCTTCAGTCACAAGGGAGCCAACGCTCTCCGACCCTGTGGGTCTCTTGCCTGTCGCATCAGCTGATATTGCTCGGATTTCACATGTGGGAACACCGGAACTCGGTGCAACATTTGGAGGACAACGTACATCTACGCGAACGTAGCCGATTGGTGAACGATGGTATACACTCTCAGTTTGATATGGGCCCAACTGACCTCCCCAAGGTAGTCCAACGCATGCTCGCCGTGAAACGCCGAACAGTGTTGAACAAGCCGTTGGTTTATAGGGAAGAGTGGCTGAAGTTGGTTAGAATGGAATGCACGACCTCAACGCCGTATCCTTCACCGCTTCTTCCACCCGGCCCAGGCCCCTTCACCCGTTTTGAGGAATCAACGCCCCAAAATCACCCCACCCCGTCGCCGGTAGAGTTAGGATCCTCTCGATCATGACTAAAGCAACTTCTGTCCATCAGATGTCTCCAATGGTTCAAACTAGTTGTTGACTCGTCGCTTCACAGTACTTGACCTTCACAGCTTCTACCGGCAATCACATTTAATCGATTAATGTTTCAGTTATTATTATTATCAATGAATCACTCACTCCTTTGTAGATAAGGCAGTGCTGTTCTTGAGGTATTTTTGTTTTGTTGCCTTTTGTGATTGAATGTTAGAATAAAGCAAAATGTGCTCTATTGTGAGTGCCTTTAGCGCTCAGAACAAACTCTCTGCAATCTAAATTTGTAATCGACTATACAACACTTTCACGACAATACAGTCCAAACCAAGATCAGACTGGATATTGTGGAAAATCCGTAGCCGTGGTAGAGAACGCTGTGATCGATCAAGTCGGATACTAGTTTGACTTATTTGACTACACATCCAACCAAAATTATACTACAAGAGGCAAGGCCTCCATCTTTACGATACGACCTGGTTTTGATTACAAATCTTGATATTTTAATATTTATTATTGCTTAATCTACATAGACTAGTGGTATACGCAACAAAAGTTACCAATTTTGGTCTAGAATACATGGATTTTGAATCATTCAATCAGGGCTCCTGAAATGTTGGGACGGGTCAAGACCAAGGAATCTCATTTCTGCCGCACCATTGAAAAAAAAACACCCAAAGTCGATACATATAGGTATATTGGTCCTTTTTGTAGTGGTCCTACCGTGTCTGGTTACCGACACGGCGACTGGGACACATTCCTGAAAAATTCTGGATTGAATGTCAAATTGACCCCCTAGGTCAAGTAGCTACAGCTCAATCACTTCCACCTTGAAATCTCCCATTCCAAGGTGCCAAACCTTGTTAGATATACCCATGGACAAATAAAATGTGCCAGAATAAAGAAGATTGAGGAAATTAGGTCAACAATTTGACGATTCCAGAAATTTCAACAAATGATTCTTGATTTAGGACAAATCATTGCCTTGGTCCCAAAAAATCTAAACTTTAGGCATCCAAGGGAGACCCTGGTGTGTTGTTGGATGGATAGCTGTCTAAATGGCGGCCAGGGGGGCCTCCAGAGCGGCAGAAAACCGACAGCACAAAGGAAGGAAATCGCAAAATCTTTCCAAATTAAACAAAGAAAGTGAACCAATAATGCTCTGTTGTTGTATCAGATACCAATATACCATAATATACCTTGGAGCTCGGCGATCTCTGCATGTGTGGCCCTCTGTGGACCCCAAAGGGCAGCCTGGCCAAAACAATTCTAACATCGCTTGTTGATTGTGGCATGATTGGGGTAAAACCTAAATTGAATCACGGCTCATGGCTAACCTCTGCTGGAATTTTCAAGTACTTGGTGCCTTGAGACTTCGTGGGCTCCGAAAATCAAAATAAATCTTCGTTTTGGACGTTGATGGTGGGCTTCAGTGGTCATTTTGGTGACCAAAGAAACAAACAAGGCCAGATCACGTCATAGAAACAGGATAGCTTATGTAAAGATACAACTACTGTCAGCTGTGCATCAATTTTCTTGAAGTCGGTGATGACTGCAAGTGCCTCAAAGCTTACCATCATGGTGAAATCAAATTCATCATCCTTTTTGGTGGATTGAGATATCGGTGTTGTGTACAATACAGTAGGGAATAGTACAAAATGTCCCAAAGTACTGCATTCAACAAAGACTTGTCGCAGAGGTTGAATCAAGTTCTGTAGCAAGGGATTTTCCAAGGGAAAATCATTGAACTCACTTTTGTGATTGAATTGTCAATTCAAGCCAAACATTAATCAAATAGGAACAATTTCACTCAAAGTATACCTAGACAGAGGAGAACTATTGTCGTGAAAGTGTTGTACAGTGGATTACAAATTTAGATTGCAGAGAGTTTGTTCTGAGCGCTAAAGGCACTCACAATAGAGCACATTTTGCTTTATTCTAACATTCAATCACAAAAGGCAACAAAACAAAAATACCTCAAGAACAGCACTGCCTTATCTACAAAGGAGTGAGTGATTCATTGATAATAATAATAACTGAAACATTAATCGATTAAATGTGATTGCCGGTAGAAGCTGTGAAGGTCAAGTACTGTGAAGCGACGAGTCAACAACTAGTTTGAACCATTGGAGACATCTGATGGACAGAAGTTGCTTTAGTCATGATCGAGAGGATCCTAACTCTACCGGCAATTGAACACTCCAACTCAAACTGAAGCTGTTGCAAGAGAAACAGAGATGGCCCAAAACAAGATTCTCTATTCTGCAAAGCTCGACGAGAACAGCGTACTTTGAGACAAACAAGAGAACCGTCAAATCAAACATCATTCTGAAGTCTGTGACAAAGGCGATGGATATCAAGCTTTGAGGTGAAGCCAATTTCACGACTACTCTTGAAGATCCGATTGAACTCTTGAAATGTATTGAACAATTCATGAAGAAGAGTGCTGATGCTGAGTACGATTTCTTGGATTTCTGGGAAGCGAATCAAAAGTTCTTTGCTATGAAGAAAGGAAACACGGAAAACTTGATGCATTTCAAGGAACAATTCTTGAGACAGACTGAAGTCCTGCAAGATCTATATGGCGTGGCCTGGTTCCGAAATTTTGCAGTCAAGATGAAAGCGTATGCTGCTATTGCTAGCACCAATACTGCTGCTCAAAACAAGTTCAAGGATGATATCTTTGAAGCCATTCTTGCAACAGGATTTCTGTGCAACTGCAATCGAACGAGAACAGCTCCTCTGATGCTGGATCTTCAGACAAACTATTGCAGAGAAGTGGATTATTATCCAAAGACGGTCAGCAAAGCACAAGATATGTTGAAGATTCACATGGAAGTGAGTAAAAATCCGGGATTGAAGCTCTACCAAGGAAAAGACCAACCTAATAAAGGTAAAGGTAAAGGAAAAGGAAAGGGGAAACCAAAGGATGGAAAGAAGGCAGCATGCTATGTATGTGGCAACAAAGACCATATGTCTCCAAAATGCC